AAAATGTATGGAAAAAGAAGTTTAGGCATGATGGCAATTCTTGCAGAATTTGGTCATTTTGGGGGTAAAATTCTGCTCAGAATTTCGAAATTTTTCGTTCAGAAAACTACGATGACAGTTTCATTGAAGAATACTTGTTTTGTGTGTTGGCCTAATTCATGGCTATGTTTTGTTTTAGCATTTTTCATGGAATAGAAGGTTTTTGGGACATTGAATATCTTTAGTTTCTTTACATCAATATTATTTTTCTTCAAGGCCTGCTACACCATATAGGCTATGCAGCTGAAAAAATAATTGTTCTATGACATTAAGCACTTTAAAATTTGGCGCAGCCACCATGTAAAACATTTATCAACTCTGTAATTCTGACTCCTACATTCCTTCTTCCAGTTTTCTGATTATTCAAAACTGCATATTTGAAATCATGTTTTCATTTCAAAATTTGTTCATTACTCTCTTTTCCTCTGCGCCCGCAGATATTTCACTTCCTTTGTTGACCCTCAATTTTATGGACTAGTTAACCTTATCCGTACGTCGTGTTTTACTATCGTATCTATACGACGTGGGGAACTCCCAAATTTACTCGTTAATCCGATCCTTACGCTTTGCATAGCAGTCTGTCAAAATGATTTTTTGAGAAATACTGAAAGTTTCAAAGAGATCTTCATACTAGAAGTCTTCTAAAATGTGAAGAATACAACCCAGGGAGTACAAAATGACCCCAGGGTGTACGGATAGGTTTACGGGAGTATGGACAGTATCAAGAGAGCTACTGTTATAAGTGGTTCCTTTTTATTGTTTGGGCAGAGGCCTGACTAGTTTTGTTCCATCTTTTTGCTTCAAACTTTTTCTCAAGGACAGCTGTTGTTTTTTATTTTAACATTTTTCCCTCATACTACTTGAAACGGTTTTCATTTACAATGTTTTCTTTTTTGTTTGTATACTGATCAATGAGCTGCTGTTATCTACTATATTACAACTGTGTTTTGGTAACATTTTAGAGTTTTTCATTTCACACAAAAATTCATCCGTTTAATTAAAAATGTTAATGTTATGGCCAGTATCTCCCACCCCCTGTCAGCGGAGAAAACTGGGGGTCAACAGTATTGGATCAGTTATATGATTGTAGTTTCCATGTACATTTTTCTTTTACATCACATGTGTATGTGCAGCATGAATCAATATAATGAGATCTCCCTCCAAAACCATTTCTAATATCCACACACACACACACACACACACACACACACACACACACACACACACACACACACACACACACACACAGACACACACACACAAACACAGGTACACCAAAAGAGCTTTACACAGTTTATGTTTTGATTCATTTCTAGTGCAGCCTGTTGTCAATCAGGCTTTTTGCTCTTGTTGAAATTTTCCAGTTAAAGGTTTACAAATTGTATTACGAAGGTGCTGAATTGATGATACGAATTGTCTCTGTCAGGTTTACTGGTATAATTATTGTGTTATATGTCAATTCTCAGTAGTCTATATGTTGCAAAGGTGCTTAGAAATATTTATGTCATTTTAAGTCATAACATTTTTTACTGACTTCGGTGCCTTGTCTTATTTACAGTTTTGGTACAAGGGATACCATTTATTGTAATTTTGTGATTTTAAAAAGTTTTAATTTTACAGCTTTAAAAGTCTGCCTTATATATTTATGAATATACTACTGAAGCTTCCAGAGGTTGAATCTCTTCAGAAATTTTAAATTCCAAATAGTCG